TTTTTTTAAAAAAAAAAAAAAAAAAAAAAAAAAAAAAAAAAAAAACTGGGTGCTGGTCACATCATTCAAACAAGGTGACAGTATTTCTAATAGGAATATTTTCATTGAAAAAAACCAAGACGGTGGAAATCCACTGATCCAGATTATATGTGTCTTTGCCACTTGGATGCAGTTGAGGTTATTTTAAAAGATTCTGATTCATATGAATACCAGAAAATATGAATGCCCTGAACTTCGTAATTCTGTAGTTTTATTTTTGTCTAAAGAGTTACCATTAGATCTAAGGGCTGCATTTGACTCTGGAAATATTACATGACTTAGCAGAGTGTGGTTTCCACGCAGCTCAGCCCCAAATGTTTTCCTCCCCTCACTAAAGTTATAGAAATTTGCAGTAAAATCAGTGAAAATGTAATTGGCCTTCAACCTCCTCAAATAATCAGGCTTATTGAAGATGTATCCTTTCTTGGTCGGGTATCGGAAGAGTGTATGGAGTTCAGGAGAATTGGCTTGAGGAGGCTGTATTTACTAGGTCACAACATATTTTCATTCTCAAACTCAACGCACGTGTCTATCTAGAAAAGTGCAGTGAGTTATCAGCGTCCTGGAGAGTCCTGTGCTGTGAGAAGCAGCTGGCTGGGAGGACCTGCCCCTTTATGAGGCAGCAGTTATGATTTGAGGTTAACAACGTGGAGCAGATCCCGTGCTCTGCACAGAGTCCCCAGCAGCACCAGGCTCTGTGGTGTGCAGCAATGCAGCCAGGGGCCAGGGGTACATTTGGAAGCCTAAGGCTCCATGGCCTAGCAGGGTGCTCCAGGAGGCCCGCTGGTGCCACAGCCCACTTTGAGGTAGATTTCATGTTTTGGGCTTCCCAGCCTGTAGAAATCATCTGCCACCAACTGCAGGGACTTCTGCAGAGTTAGTCAACCGAGGGGCAAAGACAGGCATCTGCAGTGGCCTTACCGCTGGTCACCCTGAGGACGGCTGGCAATGTCTCGCATGGGGGAGGCCTGCTGAGGTCAGGACAGACAGTGAGACAGGGCCAATGAGCCCAGGGAAAGTGGCGATTGCAGAGCCCCCTGTTTTTAGATGAAAATCCCAAGAGGTGACCGAAAAAAAAAAAAAACGGGATATTGAAGAGATGTGAAGAGCAAGGCTTTTGTTAGGAAAGGGAGAGGTGACAGGTGAGCCAGAGAACAGGTGAAGGGTGTGGGAAGTCTTGGCCTCTCTCTTTGACTTTAGCTTAGATTGTTATCAGCTCCATCCAGGGCCCATCACAGAGCTTTGCCTGTGGAGAGCTCTTTCCCTGAAGCCCCAAGTGCGGATCTTCAGGCTGGTAGACTGCCCCCGCCCAGCCAGTCCCCACTGCCCCACCTTCTTTCCTGCAGTGCCCCCTCCTTGCGCCCTGGTTCGCCAGTGAAGATATGAAGGGTAACAATGACATTCTCAGGCATGGAGGGGAACGAGGCAGTGGGGGGTTACCCAGGAAATGCTGTGCCAGGAAGAGCGGTGTCTCCTTCAGCACGGCGTGCGGTGGTGGCTCTTTTGCTTCTGTGACTCTTTTTACCCATTTTCACTTTTCCTTCCCCACTGCGGACACTATGAATCCGTATAGTTCTTCCCACTTGTTCTCCTGCCTTGTTTTCCTTTCCTATGGTATAAGGAGGAAAGCACAGGGTTAAGGAGGACGGTAAGTGCGTGGTTCTTCTCCCATGCAGACAAGCAGCCAGCAGCAGCTCCTGAGCCCCACGCTGTCCGATCGAGGAGGAAGCCGGCAAGACGCGGCCGATGCAGGGAAACCCCAGAGGAAGTTTGGGCAGTGGCGTCTGCCCTCAGGTAGGTACATCCAGGCATTTCTCCACCGATCAAGGCATTTTAAAGGTATTTACTTTGTGTGTTTTGGGTCTTGCATTTCAAAATGCAAGTCTGCATCTACGGCTGTTTATAGACAGCAACATAATGAAAAATGTAGTCTTGTCAAAAACATTGCCTCACCCCATTTCCCCCTCACAAATAACTTCTCTAAATATGACCTACATTAGCCCCCATTTTCTGGGTACATTTCAGGCTGCCATGGTCGGGAAGCCAGCACCTAGGAAAAAGCCAAGATTCAGAAAGAGGGAGAGATTTCCAAGGGCTTCCTTCGTGCATCAAGGCACGCTCAAACATGGGTGAAACTTATTTAATTGAAGAGGGAGTAGGTAGATGCAATCATTCAGAAAATGCCACAAAGTTCTCAAAAAAGGGACAGGCCCGCACTTTGTCTTCGCATTCACTTTGCAGCTGAGCCAGTCACTGTCTTTAGGCAAGCTGTTTTACCTCATTCAACCCTTTCATTTAATAAACAATCCCATTATTTACCACATTTTACTGATTTAGTAAGAGAATTGTCTTCTATGAGCTTCTTCTATATAGGGTTTTGGAAAGCCAGGATAATCCCATGAAGAGCATTCAGGAATGGAGGGAGAAAAATGCTCCCCACAGCCTAGTGTCCTTGTATGTGTTTTTCTCTTTTTTTTTTTTTTTTTTTGAGACAGAGTCTCGCTCTGTTGCCCAGGCTGGAGTGCAGTAGCATGATCTTGGCTCACTGCCACCTCCGCCTCCTGGGTTCAAGCGATTCTCCTGCCTTAGCCACCCAAGTAGCTGGGATTACAGGTGCATGCCACCCACTCCTGGCTAAGTTTTGTATTTTTAGTAGAGACGGGGTTTCATCATGTTGGTCAGGCTGGCCTCAAACTCCTGACCTTGTGATCCAAGGTCAGGCATGAGCCACCAAGCCTGGCCCATTTTTGTATTTTTATTAGAGATGGGGTTACACTGTGTTGGCCAAGCTGGTCTCGAACTCCTGAGTTTGTGATCTGTCCACCTTGCCTCCCAAAGTGCTGGGATTACAAGTGTGGGCCACCACACCCGGCCACATGTTTTTCTCTATAGATAACTAAGTTCATGCCAAAGCAGGAACTTTATAATGCTCTTTAACTGCCCCCCAACTTCAGCCCAATTGAAGTGAGAAGATGTGTAGCATATGTGTTCTGCAAAGTGGATGACAGCACCACTTACATTTTGAGGCTAGCGATGTTCAGTGGGTCTTCATGGAGACTACCACCAAAGAAAGTATCCCCGTTCGTATCCAGGAATTTATTTTTAAGGAAGCAGGTTTCCTCCTGATTCAAACAAAGCAGAGAATGATGGCATCAAGACAGAGTAGGTGGTAGTGCCAGGTCACAAAAAGCCTTAAATTACAAGCTGAGTAGGTTCATTGTTATCTTGTGGGCAATTAGGAGCTAGCAAAGATTTCTGAGAAATATGTGACTTTTGGAATCCGTGCTTTAGGAAGCTGACTTGGCAGCAAGGGAGAGTGAATTGTCTACAGCTGAGACTGGAGGCAGGTGACGGGCTGGAAGAAGTTGCAGTGGTGTGAGCACCAGGCAGCAAGGGCGTGGACAGAGCTGGGGCCAGATGCTGCAGGGACAGATAGGAGAGGTGACCTGGGGAGAATGCACAGTCGTTGGTACTCACTTAAATGGACAAGAGAAAAGATGCTGTCAAAAGTATGTCCATTGGTCTGGGCACGGTGGCTCACGCCTGTAATCCCAGCAGTTGGGAGTGCCAAGGCGGGTGGATCATGTTAGGTTCAGAGTTTGAGACCAGCCTGGCCAACATGCTGAAAACCCTGTCTTTGCTAAAAATACAAAAATTAGCTGGGCGTGGTGGTGCACGCCTGTATTCCCAGCTACTCAGGAGACTGAGGCAGAGGAATTGCTTAAACCCGGGAGGCAGAGAGGTTGCACTGACCCTGCACTCCAGTCTGGACAAGAGAGTAAGACCCTGTCTCAAAAGAAAAAAAAGTACTTCCACTGGTCTATGCCTAGATGGCCCCCATCAAAAATGGTGATGGGGGTCAGGCTGAGTTTGGGAAGGCAGGGGGAAAGAAAAACAGTATTTTGAGGGGACAACAACGTTATAGGTGTCACGCGATGCGCTCAGGCCATCTCATGTAACCCACTTTAATCCTGACAATGGTCTAATTAGGACATTTTCACTGTCTTCATCTTGCACTGGAGGAAACCTGGGTTGAGAGACATGAAGTTGCCCATTGCTACATACCCACAGGTTACAGAGGTGGGTCCCAAGACCATGACTGTGGGACCCCAGAACCGCACCTCTCCTCCCGCACCCTCACTCAAACCTTGCCTTCACTGTGGGTCATGCTTTGCTTCCATTTTTTTGTATTTTTTGCATATGCTAACGAATGCACATGTTTCTATGGCAATAGCTCCCAAATTGGAATTTTTAGTGACTTTCTAGTTTTTGTATTATTTCAGAATGTACGGGGTAAGCAGCACTTCTTTTCCCCAAATGGCATTATTAGTTGTCCATGAGCATAATTTTTAAAAATCTATCATGAACATAAAGCGTCAAGTCCTGAAAAGGATGTTTACTTAGCATCTATGGATAGGACACATTAGCCAAAACTATCACTGCTGGGAAGATCATGGGTTTTAGGAATGATTACAGTAGAGTGGAGCAGTACCAAGTGGCTCATAAGATTCACTAATTCCACAGCGCCAAAACCAATAAGCCATTCGGTGTCCTCGGTCAACTTACGGTTTGGAGGGAGGACCACCATGAAATCTGTAGTGTGCAAAATGAACCCCATGACTGACACGGCTTCCTGCGGTTCTGAAGTTAAGAAGTGGTGGACCCGGCAGCTGACCGTGGAGAGCGACGAAAGTGGGGATGACCTCCTGGATATTTAGGGGCACATCAGTGTGGATGAATTTCCAGTGGTGAAAACTGTTTTCTAATAATTTCCTTGATTGTCCAGTGAGCAATCTGTAATTGATCTATCATGTCATTTCAACTTGTCAGAAGATTTTTATAAACTGATTTTCGTCCTGCCAAAGAAAGGCATAAGCTGCATTATGATGGGTTACTATCTTTGTCTAAAAAGTTTGTATGATGACTGCACTGATAATATTAGAAACTATACCACAAGCACATGTATATCACTCAAAAATGTCACATATTCTGTGTAAACTAAGGTATATATTCATATGTGCTCTAATGCAGTATTATCACCATGCCTCAAGAGTTCTAAGCCCAAAGTGGCTGATATTTATGGTACAGAGGTTACAGCTTTAGTTCACATCTTTCCCATTTCTGCTAGAAATATTTCTCTTGGAAAAATTATTTATGATTGATCTCAAAAGGTCAGCAATGAACTTATGCTAAAATGATAGCAGTTTTACAAACTACAGATTCTGAATTTTTAAAATATCTTCTTTTTCTCACGTTACGTTTTAAAATATACACAAGATATTTGGTGACCAGAACAAGTTGATTTCTGTCCTCAGTTATACTAATGACACTGTTGCCTCCTTCCAAGACAATCGTGCATGCGAGCACCAGGCAAAGAAACGGGCTCAGAACGCTTACTGGTTTAAAACAAACAAACCTGTAGATAAATAACGTGAGTGACAAGAGTTGCGCAAAGATGTTAAGTTTCTGGAGAAGCCTCTTAATAACTGAGTTTAGCAAAAAGAATCAAACTATATATCTCAATTTATTTACAAAAACATTGTATGTGTGATGTTATCGTTGGCTTCATTTCTTACCCAAGGTGTGTCTGTTTTGCCATAAATCAACAGTCATTTCATTACGGGTTGATCTGAACATACTGGATTTGAAATGACACCTCTGTTACCAGAATCTCCTATGGAAAAAACATGGTGATTTATTTGCAAAATCTTACTCAGAACTCACAGGTTAGGGATCACATGACTTAATCGTTTTTTGGGTTTTTTTCTTTATATGTCAATGGCCCATGTCCTCTGCGAAAACTCAAAAAGCAAAACAATGGCAAAGTGCTGTTAGATTTCCTGTGCTGGATCAGCCAAGTAGAAATGGACTTGGACCTTTTAACTATTTTATTACAGATTGGACATTTGCTGTTTAGATGTTTTTCAACAGAGGGATTATCTCAGAATCCTCTGACCTCTAGGTTGCTTTATGATCTATTTTTCTCTATTTAACATTCCTCAGATAGGCAAATGGCACCTTCCTGCTGTGTCACAGATGTATCATTGTGGTGGAAGTCTATGGTGTATGTGATTCACTGTAACTATGAGATAAAGTACAACCAGTCCATGCAGCCAAAAGGATTGGATTTGATTTTATGTTCACTTGCAGTTTACTTTTTGTACATAAAAATAATAAAATAAATATTGGATTTGCAAAATAATTTACCCTGAGTTGACTGTGTTTAAATCCTTTTCTTGGTGGGGCAGGCACTCGGTAGCAGCACTTTGCAAACCCTGGATTGAATATTCAGTCCATAATTAGTTGGCAAAATCTCTGTCCCTGATATTCATTTCAACTCAATTCCCTCAGCTGGAATGTTCCTTTTACACTTGTGCTGATAAGCCTGAGTGAATACCCTGTGCCTTCCAAGCCTACAGTGAACAGAAAAGGCACTTACCTGTCCAGGGCATGGGTCTGTACTAGTGCTGCACAAAAACGTTATTTTTTTTTGGCATATTAAACTTGAGTAACACAGCTTCATTCTCATGAAACTGCTGAGCCCTTCCTAAAATGTCTGGAATTGATATTCAGGAGAACATCATTGCTGTTCATGCTGCAGTGAAGCCAGGGGCAGAATACCAATGTATTTAAAGCCATAGCACCCTATATTTTCAATGAAGCAAAACAGTCACACAGTTCTTGTGGGATTCCTCTCTATGATTTTCCTGAAATAGGTAGAGCAGGTACAAGCCAGAGAAAGTAAGCGCCACCCCCTTTTAGATTTTACCCCTAGATACGTAAACATATGAACAAACTGGTTACACACATAGGAAAACTTGGGCCACAGTGTTCCCTGGTCCTTAGGGAAGCCAGACACTGTTACTGATCCTGTCATCACAACACCCACCACCTTTAATTAGAGGATGCCATCAGTTCCAAAGACATCAGAAAGCATACAGGGTGGAATAGTTGACTCAGAGTCCCCGAGAGAGTGGGCCACACACGCGTGACTCTTACAACAATTGAAAGGGACTCAAAGGAAGCAAGCATGAACGGAATGGAAGGGCTGATGCTATTCACTCCATTCTTCATGGTGCTTCCAGTCCAACACCCATCAGCAGCATCTGGCTGGCTGTGCCTTGAACAAGCTAAATGAGACGAAGGCACGTGGAAGGAAAAACTAGGGTTATAAAGCCTTACAGGAAAGCAGCTGTGAGCCAGTGGAATGATGTGTTTGCCTGTTTCTTTGTAGGAAGTGGCATTCTATACCTGGGTGATTTTAAATATATTGGTAAGCAGTGGACATGTTTCTGAAAGTCCTTCAACAGATCCCAAAATTGTAACCAGGCAAAAGCCGGGCAGCCCTGGTTAAGTTGAGGTGAAGATGAAACGCCACTCATATGGTCTCTTCTCACCCATTATTATGGGTTGAAGTGTGACCCTAAAAGGATAGGTTAAAGTCTTAATACTTAGTACCTGTGAATATGACCTTATTAGGAACTAGGGTCTCTGCAGATATAATTAGTTATGAGGAGGTCATACTAGACGAGAGTAGCCCCTATAACAACATACCTGGTATCCTCTGAAGACAAGGAGACACAGCGTGAGGAGAACGCCACATGAAGACACAGGCATGCGGGAGGATGGCCATGAGACTGTGAAGGCAGGGGCATCGGAGCCATGCTGCAAGGAGCCAAGGGACACTTGGGCTACCAGAAGCTCCAAGAGGCAAGGAAGGGGCCTCCCAGAGGCTTCCGAGGGAGGCTGGCCCCCTATCAACACCTTGATTCCGGACTTCTGGCCAGAAGAACTGTGAGAGCATACATTTCTGTTGTTTAAGCTGCCCAGTTTGTGATCATTTGTTACAGTAACCCTAGAAAACAAGTATGGCCTCCAAAACCCACTCCACCTCCCAGAGATGTCCCAAGGAACTCAGTTTGTAAGACACCAGGATAGATCACTTGATGGCTGATCATAGCTATATAGTCAATTTCCTTCCATTGCCATGAGGTTCTCATCCCCCTGGGTTCTCTTCACACAGCTCATGTGCGTCCAGCAGGGGACGCTTGCGTCCCTCCTCTGTGTCCAAACTGCTATTCAAAGGTTACTTTAACTACAGAAGGCCTTTTTTTTTGTCTGCTCTTTTATCTTTTTAGTTTATTAGTTTAGTCTCTGTCTTTTCTCTATGAACTCATTTTCCAGTTCTACTTTAGGATTCCCTAACACTGCACCTCCTTCTTCCTCCACTTCTTATTCACCCCCAATAACCATAGCTACACCCAGGCTCGATCTTGTCCACCCCTTTCCCCACAACCCACAAGATCTCCTTTCACACCTCTAGAAATACATTTATACGTACTTCTAGAAATACGTTTGTACGTACTTCTGACCTCTGCTTTGACTAGTTCTTCTATGATGCTTCCCAAACTCTTGTTTCTAGCTGCCAGGGAACTAGCAACTCAAGAAGATAACAGCTCTCCCATGAGTACTTCCCCACCTTCCTTCTTTTTTATCTCAGTGTTTTTGTACATGTTCATTCATCCTCTCCCCCTTCTCTTCTGTCTTACGAAGAACCTCGCTTCTTCTCCAAGTCTTACTTCCCAACCTGAGCCATCTATCCTATCTCTTTATTTCCATAAAAGCTTTCTGAGCATCTTCTATATACTCTGCTGTGTGCCTTGTGAAGAAGCCAGAGCTGAGCATAGCAACATGATCTTTTGCTTAAACTGCAGTAGGAAAGAGACGACAGATGCACAGGTCCCCTTGATAAAAGGTAATTGTCAAATCTGCCATAGAAAGGTGGAGTGGTGATCAGAGGAGGCTTCTGCGGGGGGTGGTACCATTTCAATAGAGCATGAAAGGAAGAATAATTGGATTTAAGTTATCATAGATGGGGAAGCAGCAGACAGAATGCTGCCTGGAATAATAAAAGGAAAATTATCAAGGAGAGCATCAGTTGACTCTATTCAATGAGTTCCAAGCCTTCTGAATAGGAATGCAAAGGCAAGACTCAAGCCTTGCTCGAGGGCACGAAGAACATTGACTGCCCCACACTTCATGTGGGCTGTGATCAATAGCAAAGGGGAGTCTGTAGAGGTGGGGAGTGGGAAGATTATATCCATAATGCAAGATCCAGGCTTTAGGAGGAGCAAACCAGGAGCAATGTGCAAAATGGAAGTGATGAGGAAGAGGCGGATGCGGGGTGAATGTTTACAATACCTCAGCTCTCCCGGAGAACTGTGGTTCTCGTTCTCCATCCTCGAAGTTGAACTACTATAGCGGCACGGGACACAGAAGGAGAGTGGAGGTGTGACAGGAACTTAATGAGATGAAAGGGGCTGCAGGACCCACCACACCAGGCTCATTCAACTGGCACCAGTGACTCGCTCTTCCAACACTGCCCCTTGTGCATCTTTTCTTGAACCAGGACCCGCAGAAACACACTGACCATTTTCTGGACCTAATTCCAGAAGACACTTTCTCTCCTAGATTCCTCCCACAGGCCTTATAATTATAACTTTTATTTAACTTATTTTATTTAACCAGCCTTTCTGTTTGATTCTCAGTTCCCTGGATCACCTGTTAATCTTTTACATTATAATTCTTTGGAAGTACTACTCCTGGATCCTGCTAGCTGAATGGAATTTACAATTTGGGAGTTTACTAGGTGGAGTTTTCCAGTTGATGGGAGAGGATGGCCCCTCCAGACTCACCTGCTCTTAACAGATATCCCCCTATGGAACACCCCTTTTCTCTTTGACTTTAGGGTTACATTTTGAGATGTTGGCATCAAACTGCTCAGATTTTATTGTGGGGATGGGACAAAGAAGAAGAAAAGAGGTGTTGGATGAAGAGAACTAACTAAGGCAAAAAGAAACAAAAGTTCCCTAGAAAGACACACACACATTCTCCCTTTACCTACTGACCACATTGGTCTGGAATCAGGACTTACCATAAATAAAGCCAATTAATTTTTCTGGATAGAATTATGGTTCATCCTCTGACCTAGCTGGTTCCAGGTCTCACAAAATCTTTTCTATATCATCTATGCCCCTCAAGAGTCCCCAGACCTCTCTCCAACCATGCTCAAGGTCAAGGCTTCCTATTAAAAAAAAAATTCTCTGGGCAAAAGAGTGTTTTCAGTCTCTCTCCTTCTCTCCAACGTGAACCATTCTATCTGCCCTCCTTCCTCCCTGGCTTCAAACATGAATGCTGTCTCTCTCCCAACCCTTTCCTATAGACCTTTCATCTGTGCCAACTCTCCAGTTTCTGACATACCATCTTCTTATTGCACTCCTGACATTCTTGAACAGAAGTCACACCCAGGCTAAACATGCTGCACATTTCCTGATTCCCAGGACATTCTTCTTCCATCAGGACAGAGCTCAGTAATGTCCAGTGCAGTTTCAGTGCAAAAGTTACTCCAGAACGATCTCCTTTCCTGTGATGAGCTTCTGAGAATTCAATTCACAGGGGGAAAAAAACAAAGTAGCTTTCCAAAAGACAGGTTACCCTCTAATTAGGAAGGGCTGTCTGAACTCTGCCTGTAGTAATTTATCAATGGAAAGTGTAAATAACACAAGACATGATGTAATTGACTGAGATCAACTATTGTCTAATGAATGAATCATCAGGTAGTTCACTTACTCATCTATTCAAGATTGAGGCAGGCATGCTTCTTGCTCTGTGAGTCTACAGATGTATGCTCTATACACATGGCGCTCATGGTCTACTGGGGAAGCAGAAAATAAACAGGTAAATATAAAAGTCAGAAGGTTTTAAGTGTAATGGAGAAAAATTAACTTGGGTAAGAAGGATAGGCCTGGCCAGGTGCAGTGGCTCACACCTGTAATCCCAGCTCTTTGGGAGGCCGAGGGAGGCAGATCACGAAGTCAAGAGATCAAGACCATCCTGGCCAACATGGTGAAACCCAGTCTCTACTAAAAATACAAAAATTAGCTGAGCTTGGTGCCGTGCGCCTGTAGTCCCAGCTACTTGGGAGGCTGAGGCAGTATAATTGTTAGAACCCAGGAGCTGGAGGCTGCAGTGAGCCAAGATCATGCCAAAGCTCTCCAGCCCAGCCTGGCAACAGAGAGAGACTCAGTCTCAAAAAAAAAAAAAAAAAAAAAAGAAGGGGGTTGCCGGGCTTGAGCCTGTAAACCCAGCACTTTGGGAGGCTGAGGCAGGTGGATCACGAGGTTAAGAGGTTGAGACCATCCTGGCC